GTTTGTTGTGCACTTGTTAAGGATTTAGGCGTAGACAGGGCCACTTTCTTAACATTTGTATGCCAAGAAAGTGTGATGACAAAGGAAGGTGTTTGCCGTTATTGCAGGGACTAAAAAGAATTAATTGATCTAGGGTAAATGGATGATGTTGAAGCCGAAATTGTCGAAGGCGGATTAGCGTGAGATGGGTGCAACACAATATTCCCGTCACTATACCCGGCCTTTGCGATAACGCTTTGGTTCCTGTGATGCTGATAAGAGGAGTCGAGTTAGCGGAGCGTGCCACCCCCGCAAGCGTCTCCGGTTCTGCACCAGACCAAACAAGGAAAGCAACCAAATCTTTAGTCAAGGCCGCGCTATCTACACGAGCCAACGGCCAAAAATGCATGATAAGCAGATCCAACTTTAATCCTGCAACGTTGCGTTATATCCTCGATCTCCATTTCTGCCCCATAATCCACCTCATTCGGAAAGTAATCTATCGTCCATCACAGGCCCTCATCGTCTACTCTCTCGTAATAATGCCTCGGTCAAAGACCAACAATTTCCCAAGGGGCAAGCCACGTGGTATACGCCGAGATCGGGACTGTCAGACCTGCAAAGCCCGGGGCGTCAAGTGCGATCTCAACAGACCACGATGTCTGCCGTGCGTCGAATCAGGATACGCATGCGGAGATTATCCACAGCGAGTCATCTGGGCAGCGAATCCGACACCGAAGCCAAGCAGGGCTGAGAATAGAAGCGCTGTTATTGAAAAGTCACTTGCGACGGACCAGCACGAGGTTGTGGAGCATTTGTTGGCGTTTGGGAGTAGTTTGAAGACTGCGAGATTGGCGACGAATGATGATCTTTGTGTGGATCAGGGTCTGGGGCTGATTGATCAGGTTGATTACTTTTTGAGGGCGAGGATTAGTAAGAGAAGGGGATCAACTGCTGATTCTGCTTTGCCAACTTCACCGTCATCGTTATCGTCGGGGGAGGGAACACAAGATGAGGATACACTTATGTGGCACCGACTCGCAGCTCTCAAGAGTCTAAGTGAGGCTTTGAACACCGCTGATCCAGCTGCTTTTCTGGGTATTGCTGTCTTTGCTTTCTTCGAAGTCGTCTCAGATGGAGTTTTTGGCGAATGGGACTGTCATCTGCGTGGAGCTCGCTCCTTACTAGATTGCCATTGCAGCAACAGTGAAGAGTTCCAGCGATTCTCAAGGCGATTCACAGGTCTAGAAGAGATTGTCGCCTACTTTGCATGGTGGGATACCATTGGAGCTCTGGTCAGACAGTCCACCAGTAACACCAAAAGCGGCCTCATCTTTGACGACTGGCATCGAAGTTCGCTGGGACAGGACTTCTTCGACAGAGTTGGATGCCCAGCAGAGACATTCTGGTTATTCGTTTCTCTGATTCAAAGCAAAGAGTCCACCAATTTATCAGAGAGCCTCACTCGAGCAATGGCGCAGCTTCTAAAGCTCGGAATGGACAAGACAGAGAAAGGGAAATGCAGTGATATCTACCGCTGCGCCGCTGTGATAGCCGTTCTCACAACCCAAAGCTCCTCTAGCGGAAGTGAAGAGACCTTTTCTGAGGTGACACTGGAGTTTGCTGTGGATAGGATCTGCCATATCATTGAATCCGCCTGCTCAAGATCCCGATACTATCCACATATGGCTACACCTGCCTACCTAGCAGGAATGAGAGCAACTAACTCAGCGCAATGCAAGATCTTGGGCACGTACTGGAGGAATTGTGAGATGGGAGATATTCCTCGATATTCTGGGGTTCAAATGCAATGTGAAGAGAGATGGAGGAAAAAGGGCCTGATATAATGGAACACAATAATTTATAAGAACTTGATGAATGCAATAATTATTATAAGAGGTAAAATATCTAAATAGTAGTTAAGTCTCTCTAAAAAGAGGAAGCAACTTTATAGTATTGGGCCTGTATTTAATCTGTGTTTCCTTATACCAACCTAACTTCTGACTCTACTACATTATCAAACCAGTCCATTTTACATATCTGAAACACTCCTATACGCTGGAACGTCCCATCATCTTTCTTGCAAAGCATAAGCCCTTCCTCAAGTGTAAGTTGCAAGCACCAGACTTCTTCAATACTCTCTTCGTCAAAATCAAAAATTCCTAGCGCCACAAACACTGACATGTCTTTATTAAGGCTCCCTTCCTTCAGCTCCTTGCGCCCTAGCACAACTGGCCGACGCATAGTACCTGCTGGCCTCTTCTGCTTTCGAAGCGAAGCGATGAAGTCGCTCGACGGTGTTCTCGTGAGGATAATTGCTGTTTGAACCCGTCCCAGAAGCTGAAGCTCGCAAGACGGCATATGCAGTGCGTCGGCTCCACAATGAGCATCTACCGTCCAACGGTCGGGCTGTTGCTGTTTCGGCTTTATCAATGGTGCTCCGCTTTGGCTCTTGATCTTCATCCTCCGAAATTGTTGAAGTGTCAGTGGTTTGACGCCACCTTGAATGGAAGCCCAAGACCAAGAAGGCGCCCTGATCACTGGGGCGGATGCAAAAATAGTTGGCAAAGGTCTCGTTGCTGGTCCAAAGAAGCTGCTGACCCTGTAACCGGGCCTCCATAGCAAACAACGAACAAGGTCACACTCCCAGAGACCGGCCAAGTAGCGTGACTGTAGAGCCTTGGAGATAGGTGCAGCAATAGAGGCAAGGGCAGCAAAGATATCATGAGGGTTCGATAGTTGGCGTCTGGAGAAGTCGACTACAATCTCGTCCCAATATTGTAGGAGCCGATCTCGTGTCAATTGCGAATTCCCTTTGCTCGTGTTGAGAAAGGTGTGGAGTAAGATAGATTTACCCTCCTGATAGCTGCGGTCCTCCGAGTAACCGGAGCTTCGGCATAGGAAAAAAAGCTGCTCTTTGCCGAAGAACACCACCCGACGGCTCAGTCTCTTCTCCTGACAACACCATCCGCGAGTTTCAGTAACACCGTAGTCAGTGGATCTTAAAGGGCCAATAAGAACATTTCCTTCCTGGCCATCACCAAGAGGGAACTCGCAACAGGGAGCATGTTGTTTATAAGTATTGGCGATGAAGGAGTTGCGAGCATCGCCTGACCTGCCTGCGGTGATCGTAAGGGTTGCGTGGCCATATACTTTAGCCATGAGCTTTGATTCACATTCCCAGTCATCCTTGTCGCCCTGGATTATACATAGAGCGTCGATCCAGATATATCGGATGCCCAACTGTCGGGCTAATGCTATTGTATCGCGATGTGCAGCTACGAGGCGACGCTCATCGATCCCTCTCAGCATCCCCTCGATCGTCTTGTGATTGAGGGTGAAGGTGTCTGTAGCGGGCCCCCAGCAGTAAGACAAGGCAAGATATTTCTCCTTCATGCTCTGATCGGTTACGACAAGTCGTGGAAGGTCTCCTTGATTTCCGGTGCCTACGTCGATGACACGGGTAGGCATGTCGTACGTCCCCTCAATACCGCACGCTTGATGAGACTTTGTACATCTTTCGAGGAAACGCTGGATCAAGGTGAGATAGGTGTCGGGCTCATATTCTGCTGTACAGATTCGTCCAGGTGTTCGTGAACCTGCCGCAGTTCCCTCTTTCCTATATAACGCATTAGTAGTTCTTACAACATCGTGCTCTGAGATGAGATAGATCTTACCCATAGACGGCCAGGTTTATGTAGCCGAGTCCATGGCTGCTTTCCCTCACGGAAGTGATAGGGTTGTATCTCCCGCACGATACGATAATGCGCGGCTGAGTCAGAGTAGGGCTGTAGTCTGTGAAGTGGACGTAAATCCAGATACCCGGCTCAAACTTAGTAACTCCTTCCGGAACTTCGCCTTTGAGGACAGATTCGATCTGAGCACCTGTCCACTCTTGTCGGAAGCCTGTCCAGCAAAGATGACAAAAGTCGCAGCCATTTTCAGCGCTCTTTTTAAGTGACGTGAGATTTGGGTGGAACTCTAGATAAAAGCGATCTTGATCAATAGTAAAGGTGTGGCAGAAGGCGCATCGAGGCATGGTTCCCGAGGCTAATGGTTGGTGAGGGCTATTAAGCTTATGTTGCGGCGGCGGAGGAATGCGGGGTGCTATTATTACCATGTCAGATTGTCGGTCAAGAACGGCTAGCATTTTATTACAAGCAACTACGCACCAAAGAGTCATTTTATGACTAAGCCAAGAACCTGTCCAAATAATACGAATCTCAGATGCAAGTCTGATATGATGGAACATATAGCTCGGACAATTAAGCAAGAAAATTTGTTAAAGGCAATAATTATTAGAACGGGCGGAATGCCTAAGCGATAGTCAAATGGCTGGGCTATTTCTGGTCATGCAGATCCTTGACCAGTTGCACTGCTTCCGAAGATGGCCGATTCATATAAAAAATAAGATCCTTCGGCTTCTCCTCCCATCCACCCTCAATAGGTCATCGCTAAACACGAATCGTGCCGACCGAAGTTTCGGAAAATTCTCCAAAGCTTCAGCAAACTCAGTGATCTGAGGCAAATCCTCTATCGTACAGTTCCGAATCTCAAGACACTCCAACTGCTCTGGAATACAGTCTGCAAAGGGAGGTGGAGGTGGCATCTTTCAGTTCTCATCCATGACTGCCTCGAACAGATTGAAAAGCCCCTTGAGGGCTTCGATAACAACCTTGAGGTGCTTCAACCTGTGCAGTTTTTTGAGCTCAACCCCGGCGTATGACCAAAATGTTTCCGGATCTAAGACATAAGCAAGCCTCCATGTTTTGTTGGAGTCGAGGTGAAGGTATTCCAAGGTATCTGAATGCGGTATCAATGCTCTTACGATATCTCGAGCCGTCATTTCCAGCGTAATCGGCTTCTCTCGTGCTCGTGTGGATGTAAATGCTCGTAACCCCCGACACACAGCTAATAAGGCATTAAGAGAGGAAAACTGGCAATTGGAGTCGGTGATCGAAAGTGACTCTATGCTGACAGATTGCCTAGGCAGTTTGCCCAGAACCTCTTTATCCATGTCGCCGGCTAGGGTCATGCTGTTGCACTCGTATGAGCGCAGGGAAGGTATTTGCAATATTTTGATAAAATCCTCGTCGAATTTAAAATCGGGGCTCTCGTTATTGCTAGGATCATAAAGGAACCATCTGCTCTTGCTCATAATATTAGGTATTTGCGTGATGTTTTGTAGCCGAGGAAATGATCCACCTGGCTCGGCACCGTTTTGATTGCTGACATCAGCGTTCAAAACGCGCAGAAAAATCCTAGACTATTTCGGTATCCGGTAGATCAATGTCCTGATATTGGTGCAGACTGCAAGAAGCAGTGCCATCAAAGCATCTTCCCATTTCTCTTCTAGTAATTTGACCCATTGCTTCCTAATTTCTGATTCACCTTCAGAGGGGAAAGTCTCGTCTACCAGCCTCTTGTATACAGGCCACTCATCATCCCGGATCGCAAGACCTGACTCTGTCCCATCGCTCTTTAACCCCCAATCATGTAAATTAAGCGTTTGGACATGCCGGACGAGCTCCGGATGGGAGATGGCGATATGGTGGAGGAATTGTAAGTTACGGTTGTGCGATTGAGATCTTTCTTTGGGAATTTCGGAGCTGCGGTATGTTTGGACTGCAAATGGGGCGAGGATGTTGAAGCAGCGCTTGCATATGGAGGCGGGTGAGCGGATCGACTTGGTGGAGTTTGAGGCGACGAGATAGGATGCGATCTCCTTGTGAAGCTCCGCAGGAAGTCTTTCGAGCACCGAATTGAGAGACATGGTGAAAGGTGCTGGAAAGTGAAACGAGGTAAATAGGAAAGGGGAAAATTAGCAGCGTAATAATAGATATTAAAACACGTGATCTCGTACATGATAAACCTTATATTTGGAGCATGCGCGGTGTTGCGACTAGCTTGCAGCTTACAAGCCGGGGGCCGGGGTCTGATAGCACGGCGGCTGTTATTTATTTATTAGATAACTCAGTTGGTTAGTAAGAAACAGGAAATGCTAAAGTACTAATTGAGAGACTGTGGAAAGGACGAACCAAGGCTCTACCATAAATCACGAAATAATGACAACATTGAGGATAGGGAAGTTGCAAAAGGATGTACCAAGCCCTTCATTACCTGACGAAGCCAGATAACGTCCTCCAAACAGCAAGTTCTCAACTATTCGCGGTTATGGAATATCTCTATAAATTCGCGAGCACTCTCTTACCCGGCGATACTATCTACAGGCATAGGCTGATTCGCAGCAACCATGGGCTTAGGCGGCCACTCTCCAGCATCGAATTGACATTCCAGCGAATGGTGACCAGAGTAAAGTACTCTGGTAGCCTCCTCCTCACAAGTAAAGTCTTTTCCAACCTCTGAAGGCAGAGTGACTAGAGCCGAACAATTGGGAGGAATGGTCAGCGACATAGTAAATCTTTGACCTTCGAGCTTCCATTCACACGCAACAAGTCCATAAGGTCCACTGAATGATACCTTGGCACTAGTGATATTCCCTCCAGGAATCGGGCGGACACGAATAACTCTCCATCCTGGCTCGTGAGGCGAAATGCCACCAACTGTCCCATGAAGCCAGTCACCTACTGCCCCAAGAGCATAGTGGTTGAAACTCGTCATTTGACCGGGATTAATGCGCCCATCAGGTAGCATACTGTCCCAGCGTTCCCATACAGTCGTTGCGTCGTGCGATACTACGGCGTATAGCCAACTAGGGCATGTTGTCTCGAGCAGCATACGGTACGCCAGTTGTGAGCGGCCGATCTCAGATAGCGCGTGGGAGATAACCGGTGTTCCTGCGAAACCTGTGCTGATGTGGAAGCGAGCGGTGCGGACTAGACGATCGAGGGCTTTTCCAGCAGTTTTGCGTTGTTCATCGTTCTCGGGATAAAGACCGAATCTGATGGCGAGACCAAGACCTGTTTGAGACGTTGACATTAGGTTACCCTCTGCTGTGATGTATCTCCTCTGAAAGAGGGCCTTCAAACGCTCTCCGTCTTGCGCATACTTGGTAGCTAGTTCCATCTTTCCAAGAACGGAGCATAACTTAGAGAACACCAGTGTCGTATGCACGAGATAAGCATTCGCCACGAGAACGTTGTCAGTTCGTCCATTTCCAGGATCCTCAGGCGGTGCGCTTGGATCTAGCCAATCTGCCAGCTGCCACTTATCAGGGTTCCAAAGCCCATCCGGAGCCCTATCAACACCCCGTTCCAGCCAAGCATGCATACTATCAAACTGTCTCTCCAGGAGACCTTTGTCAGAGCTATACTGAAACAAAGCGTCTGGAGCTAGGACTGTAACATCGTCCCAGATTGCTTGAGCCATATGAGGCCAATTGGAACTAATGGCGTTGGGACACACGAGAGGAGGTATGCCGCCTTTGCCTTCCTCCAGCTGTTCTGCTGACACGTCTTGTAGCCAGTTACTAAGGATTCCCAATGTGTCATAGAGGTATGTCGCTGTTGGGCAAAATACTTGCAGGTCGCCGGTCCATCCAAGACGCTCATCTCGCTGGGGACAGTCTGTCGGCAAAGACAAGAAGTTACCGCGCATTGACCAGACGATATTATTGTGTAGTTGGTTCACATAAGGATTGGAGCATTCGAAGAACCCTCGGCGCTCCATATCTGTATGAAGCACAACAGCTCGGATGTCATCGGGTGAGGGACCGTCACCCGGCCATCCTTCGACTTCAACATATCGGAAGCCATGGAAGGTGAACTTGGGTGACCAGTTCAAGAGAATCTCACCCGACCCGATCACAGTATCACAGCATTTCGCGTCACGAAGTGGCCGTGTTCCCAACTCCCCATTCTCCATCACCTCGGCATGACGAAAGGTGATACATTTGTCCTTCTCGGTTGGAAGGCATGGAACGAAGAGTTTGCCCACGAGGTTTTGACCAAAGTCCAAGACCGTCTTGCCCCTCTGACTGCTGAAGACGCGCTTGCAGGAGATGGTCTCAGTGATACGAACAGGGGGAATATCAGGTGCTACAAGTTGAGCCGATGGCCTCTGAAGAACTCTTGTCTTCAGAGGTTTTGGAGGTATATGGTTCATATCGTGAACCTCGCCATCGTAAATCTCACTCGTAACAATTGGACTCGTGGTGCATGACCATGTCTCGTCTGAGACAAGACCCCAAGACACTTTGCCAGCTGTATCTTGAATCTCGAGCTGAGCGAATAGCCCTAGCTCATCGCCATAGCGAAAACGCTTGCCACCTTTGAAGCCGAGTCTTCCAGCATACCATCCCTCAGCAACCTCGACACTGATGACATTCTTGCCCGGGAGCAGCAGGGAAGTAACATCGTGGATACGGTAAATGAGGCGATGGTTGTAGCTCGTCCAGCCTGGGGCTAGGACCTCATCACCGACACGTTGTCCGTTAATGGTTGCCTCAAAGACACCAAGACTTGTTATATACAATCGTGCACGAGGAATAGTCGTTGTATCTTGCGGTAGAGTGAACTCTCTGTAGAATCGAATCGGTCGTAGTGGCCCATAGGGTCCAATTCGTTCAGCCGAGGTGATGAAATTTGCTTTAAAGTCGTTGGTCTCAAGAAGGGCGGTCTCAACAATCGCAGCAGTCGACCAGGAGCTAGGTTTGACGACGGCAGACTCTTGATCGAGGCTTTTACCATATACCCTCACGCGAACGGACGCAGATTCGCGGGATGAAAGTGACCGAGCTGGCCATGGCACCAGAACCGATTCTTCACTCTCAATGATGAATACTTGAGCATCAACTGTGTTTGAGAAAGTGATCTCAACTTCGTAAGAGGTTTGTACCCATGAAGCAGCTGTCGAAGGCGACGTTTCGAATGACCAGGAAAGTCGAGGCCTAGACGTGTCTACGCCAAGTCCATTGTGGTGATGCTCGAATTTGAGCTTGGAAACCCGAGGACTGGGCATGGTGCGTCTTCAGAGCTGGCTGGGATTAGATTTGTTGTATAGAGACAGTATACTGAATTGTCTTGCCCGTTAAGTATGACCTATTCAGGTCGTATGATGGCTTCGGCAGTCGGGTCAACTTGGAGCGAGTTGTGGTTTTCCCCAGACAAACCCGACAGAAAAGACTTCTCAATCTGGCATTTAGTGAAGTCAGATTGAAGTCAGGCGGGTGTAGTTAACCGGAGTAGGTTGACTGTGACCCTCGCTGTCTCTGACGATCTGCGGCTTTGAAAGGATCCGATTGGTCAGCGAGCGGACAGAGCCAACCATGTCTCTCCAAAGCCGGTGGGATTTACCATCCTTCGCCTCGGAGCTCAAAGGTTATTCCTCATACAAAGGAGCCCCCTTTCTTGGCATATTGAACGGACGGCCTCATTCCGCTGTGGCACGTGGCTTGAGATTTGACTGAGCTAGTGGCTTGTTAAGTTGAATACTATCGTCTAAACTCATCAGCAGGATAAGTCGCCAAAAAGAAAAAGAGAGTAAGGACCAACTATGCAGTAACATAAATCTGTAATCATCAGTATCTACCGACGAGTTCGTTTTCATTCATCCGAGATAATAACCAACTTCGGGATTCCGCCCTTATAAGAGCCAAGGAAAAGAAAGGAGCGGAACAGGTCCGAACGCTGTACAAATCCTGGTCGACAGTTAGTTCTCACTGATGGCTGTGGCTCGTTTGAATCGACCGATCTACAAGTCATTCGGTTGAAGGTTGTCCGAGGATTCGGTGTCTCGGGTTGTTCTTGCTGCAGAGTCATGCCACCCATGTAGATCCCAGATGAATGGGTTACTTCGGGGTAGTAGCGTCACAGATTCTGGGGCCCCGGATGCGGAGAAGATGGAGAGGCTTTCTACAAGCCTACAAATAGGTACTCGTCGCTCTCGAGAAATTCGAAGTCTCAACTGAATATAGTGGCCAAAACGAGCAACATGGGTTTCCTTGCAACAGCAGTAGCTCTTGTAGCAGCCCAGGGCGGCTTTATCTATGGCCTTGATTCAGGTATGCGCTTGACGCCAACCTCATCAAATCGTCTACTAAACAAGGGGTCATGACAGGTATCATCGCAACGACTTTCGGCCATGACAGCTTCAAACTCGCCATGTACGGACCATCGATGGTCAACACCACGTATCAAGGAGCTATTGTATCTGTGTACAATGCTGGACAAGCCATTGGTGGCTTGACCACTGGTTACGTTGCCGATAAGCTCAGCCGAAAATACACCATCATGATCGCGTCCATCTTGAGTGAGTGAGGAAAGCTGTCGGCTGACTGTAGCATTCACTAACGCAGAAGCATAGCTATTATTGGCGCGGTCCTTCAATGCGCCGCCGTCAATATCGGCATGATGATCGCGGGTCGCCTCGTAGCTGGCATCGGCTGCGGCCAGATCCTCTCCGTCGTCCCCATCTACCTTGCTGAAGTATCAAAGCCCGACCAGCGCGGCTTTCTAGTCGGTCTCCAAGGAATGATGATTGCGATTGGCTTCGGCGTCGCCAACTGGATCGGATACGCTGGCGCCTTTGCCAAAGGCGACAGACAGTGGAGGATTCCTCTTGCTATGCAACTGCCCATTCCCGTACTGCTTGTCGTCATGATCTTCTTCGTGCCATTCTCTCCGCGTTGGTTAGTACTAAAAGATCGGTATGATGAAGCTGGACAAGTACTCGCTCGCCTGCATGATAATGACCATGACGAGACCTTCGTTGAGCAGGAGCTTTTGCAGATCCGAACCCAGATTCAGCTTGAGAGGGAACAGGGTAACCTGGACTGGTTCACAGCCCTTGGACTCATGTTTTCACGCAAGTATGTTCGCCGGACCTTGACGGCTTCATTCATCGTGACTATGAGCCAGCTCTCAGGTTCATCAGTCATTCAGGTATGCCCCCTACCCATAAAGCCCCGTATGCCGATCTGATACCGTGTGGCAGAATTTCCAAGGCGTCTTCTACCAAACAGTCGGCTTTACAGGTCGCACTGCCCTCTTGATCAGCGGTGTCTATGGCATGATGGGTATCATCGGTCAGATCATATACCTCGTCTTCGTCGCTGATAAGTTGCCACGAACACGCACCCTCTGGTCTGGCTCCATTGTGCTCTGCGTCATGATTGCTATTTGCATGGCTCTCAGCGCAGAATTTGGATCGTCACATAATGAAAACCAGGCTGGCGCAAGAGGTGCTACTGCGTCCATCTTCCTCTACTCAATGAGCTACGCTATCTTCTTCAATGCCATGATCTGGGTGGTTCCTTCGGAGCTCTTCCCTTTCTTCTTGAGAACTAAGGGTATGGCTCTAGCTGTGGCAACAAAGGCGATCGTGGCTATCGTTTTGTCTCAGATAACACCATTGGCTATTGCTAATGTCAGTTGGCGGTATGTCCATGGAACACTGAAATGGCATGCATTAAAGTAACTGACCATCTACAGATACTACTCACTTTTCATTGCATCTAATGCTGCAGCAGCGTTGTTCTACTTCTTCCTTCTTCCCGAAACCGTGAGTGATATTGATTATCCGATGGGTGACCTAAGCTGACCCGAACTAGTCCGGTAGAAGCCTCGAAGAGATAGCCGTGTTATTCGGGGACGATGTTGCAGTTTCATCTTCTCAAGCCGAAGCGAAGCTTGGTCACATTGCCGAGGCCTATCAGTCAGAACATCAAGTCTCCAAAAGAGAGGATGAGTAGAGCATATTCTAGCATTAACACTACTACGCAGACTATAATATAAGAAACTGCATAGAGATCTATCTAAGAATATAGTATAAATCTTAAAAACATTTAAATTTATTCTAGGAAGTAGCTTTAATAAAACTTATTATCGAACTTTGACTGTAAATTAATATATTTCAACTCTTTAGAATTGCTGCAATAGTGCTGTGCTGAAGCAACAGATCCATCCCCCTTTCCTTCAAACCCTGCATTACATAACTGGAGGCTTTAGAAGCATCTATCGGGCTCAGCTCAGTGCCAGAGCACTTCAGGACTTGAGGCCAAGAATCCCAGGAATACAGTTCCCTATAGGGCATGGGTTTATGCAGATATATACGCAGGAAATGTTCGATTTGGTTGTGAAACCTTGTCTCAGGGACGTAACAGTGATTGATGCCCATGCCCTGACGAGATTCACCGGGGCATATGTCGGCAACAAGTATTACTTCAAATCGATAGTTGACACTTTGCGGCATTTGAACATCAAGGGTGCCGAATGAATGCTTAAGTAAGACCTCATCTAACAATCGGTAGGCAGTAACAAAGTTTCCAACCACGACTGCGATCTGACCGTGGTGTTTAAAGCTATAGGAACTTTCATTTCGCAACAATATAAATGAGTTTGTAGATCTGTGCTCGGCATGGAACTCAAGTAAAAGAGGATGGTGCCAATCTTCTGCCAGGAGCAGCGTATCGCTCATCTGACTCAAAAGCTCCAAAGCTAGGGATTCAACGAGTATTTTAGGACGGCCAGGCGAACCCATATCGTACAAACAAAACTTCATATACCAAGAGTTCAAAGCGCGGATGGAATCTCTGACCGCACATTGATGCTGTGCTTCTTCGGTGGCTATGTGTTGTAAGCGGCGAAGGATGTATTTGAATAGTTCGACGAAAAGATCGGAGTACAGGGGAAGCCCACTCGCTCTTGAAAATGCATGAAGCATAGTCGGAATAGCATCGATGAATAGGGCCCCAGAATATTTATCAAGGAGCCTCTCCACATCGACGCTGCAGTCCAAAAAGACTATATCATGCAACGCCATCGTTACGCACGCTTCTATGAACTCAAGCTCGAGGCAGTTTGAGCTGGAGTGACAAGAGGCACGGCATATATGGCCGCTGAATAACCGAGATAGCTGCCATTCCTTCAGAACATCAAGCAAGCCGTCTCGGACTGACGCTTCTGTGAACAGGCGAGGATTAAAAGAGATAGCAATGGCCATCGGTAAATAATTATTGCAAAAGTCAATTCCGTAGAGTGGCTTCTGGTGAGCGTCCGTTGATATATGGTGAAAGGGATTCCTGAGATGAATGAATCGAGCTCTGATCAGATGGGCGGTGACTAGCCTTGTAGCTTGCTCACTTTTAGACGAGCCACAGGCGTGGAGGCACTCACGACCGGCTTCTGTATCCATTAGAAAGTCGAAAGCACTCCTATGGACGAAATCGACTTGTGTCGAGTTGTATCTGCATAGTCGCTTGTCTCCGTTGCAAGGATATGATGAATTCTGGTAACCGCTGGTTACCTCAAGAAGGCCACGGCAAGCTAACTTCAGTTCATTCTCGGCTCTTGAACTTAAGGCTAGCAGGTCCTCAACTGTCATCACACGGCCTGTACTCAATATTGCTTCCATTCGCCGATCCTGGGCAGCTGCTGCCATGACTAGCAATGAAGACATGCGCATTGGCGCTGGGTGCCAGTAAAGACTGTTGTTCGATAAATACTCATCGATTTCCCTAGCGACAATGAGGAGATTGAAGTATCGAGAAGCAGTTATTTGAATGCTCGGTAGTCTGGCATCGTCTCCAATCCTACCCCACATGTCGGTGTAGAGCATAGCCAAATCCGAGGGGGTCTGCCTAAGAAGTTCTCGAAGCATCTCGATGCTTGTGTAATGTTGGCGGATGGCCCGGTTCAGACGACCTACCATAAGAGTTACCCACAGGAACACGCCTTCAGCCCTTTCTACAGTCTCCTTTACAAGTTGATCTCGATCGCGGCACTCAAGCCCACAAATATCCAGCCGTTCGCGGACGAAAAGAGTGATATCGCTATTGTTGAACTGTTGTATCCTTATTCGGGGTGCATCTTTGAAAAACGAGCAAAAAGCATGCTCCTCTCTGCTGGATGCACACAACTTGACATCATTCACTTTCAGCAGTTTGTGAATGACTTGAGAATTTGTCCAATCGGGCCAAGGTACATGTTCTAGTTCTTTGGCCTCGTCCAAGCCGTCCAAGAAGATGCAAAAAGCTTCGGGGGAAGCTTCCAATGCCCAAACTAGGGCTTCTGCCAGCTCGTCGAGACTCCAGTCTGAATGGCTTCTCTTGTGCTGCACAGAAGGTTGGGCTGTGTACAGCTTTCGACAAAGGCCTGGCTTGCCATCCATGACTTGATAGAGGAGTGACAAAGCCATGCCTTCCACATTTCGTAGCAACAGCTGACCTGGCTTCCAGAAGAAATGCGCAAGGATGCGTACATTGGACTGCCATATTTTGAGACGGTCCACTGTTCGATGGTTGAAAGCAAGGACTTTCATAAGAGAGCTTTTGCCGGAGGCTGGCTTGCCACTGACCCAGAAGACATTCGAGTCTGATTCTAACCAGTCCGCAAAACTGTCAAAGTCTGGCTCGTCGGTGGTCTCGGCATCGCTATCCTGGGTATTTTCGGATAGTTGACTATCCATGTCTGACAGATCAGATTCACATGACGAGCCACAATCCGAATGCAGTGAGCCGTGTCGATCGAAGATCCAATCAAATGTTCCAGGATAGTTGTTTGATATATGGTTCTTTCTGTCGTTCATTTCTGGAAACCGTAGACTCGACAGAAATTGCTCGTGCTGTTTCTCGAAAGCCTTGTTCTGCTCACGCTCTAGTAGTTCCTGACGAAGTTGATCGATCGACTGAGCCATACTCTGACGAATTGTATTCTCAGCTGAAGTTACATGGCCTTCAATGACAGTTCTGGTCGTTGCGTGCTCATCTGCAACTCGATCACTCAGGTTCTCGGAGAAATCTGTGACCAGCTCTGAAACCTCAGTGGAGCCGTCCACCAGCTGTGAGATGATGCTTTGTAAAGCCCGGTGGAGATGGCGAAAAGATTCCAATGAGGTGACCTCAGCGGCTTGAGACTGACTGCACACATGATCTAAGAGGAGGCTGTGGAAAAGCTGCTCATATCGCTGGAGGTCTTGTTCAGCGTCTTGGAGTTCCTTTCCTCGCCATAGTGCTACCGCGCTTTTCTTTGACGCAGCCATCTTGCCACGAAGCCCTCTTTTCGGCCCTTCATTAACATGTAGCCTAGCAAACTACTATTGCAGCTCGTCCACGCAGTCATAGACCTTTTTACCAACATCAAAGATCTGCTGCTGAGTCTGGCCTAGTGGCCCAATTTATGCGGCAGTTTAGTTCATCTCGTTAAAAGAAGCCTTCGCATTCTTCAGATATGATTCTAGTTTTGGGTCAGGAGCTCGTCCATCTCGGATGTTGCGATAGACATGGATGGAGTCCTTGGCGAAGGTCATGATCTGCATCGCATTGCAGAGAATGCCTACTCCAAGGAGTGCTGCTTCAGCGCCTGACATCTTAGCGGCGATTTCCCCGCACACAAGTGCTTTGTTATTAAAATTGATTTTTCGGGAACAAAAAAGGTGACAGAAAGATGAAGATGGAGAAGAGAAGTTCAGTTGAGAGGAGGTGCGGGGGTTGCATGAAAAACTGAGGCTGCAGAATCAGGCTGAGCAAGGCACAACCAATGCCTGTTGGCTTAAAACGTTTTAATTGCATATCTTGGATGCTGACGTGTTACGAACAATTTGTATTTTGCGCTTACACAAGTCTGCCTTGCGCAAGGCCTACCGTAATTATGTATCGGGATTCATGAATCCGGATTTACTAAGACATAGCGGAATCGCGGGGGACTCATACCCGCACAACCGGCTGTGCGTTTAGTATCACGTGTTTTTCACACAACCGGTTATGCAGATAAGGCTGAATATCTGACTTTAGATTAAATGCATAACTGCTGTTTAATAATAACACCATTTATAATTGAAATAGCTATTTAGTAGTATTTTTTATCTTTATGACTACTTATTACTTTATATTTTATATTATTAATCTGCTGCCTGGCCTCTATTTACTGCAAATAACACAGAAGTAATATAACCTTCTAACTAATAGGATTATGCAAGAACAGTTATCTGCTTATAATATCAAGGATATAAAGAGAGCCTTATTATATTATAGATATAACTAATACTAATATATAGAAGCCCTCTCTATTATAACTATAATATAATTAACTTAATAGTATATGCCTTCTTCTTCTTAACTTAAATTAATAAAGGGAGATACTATATATAGGATATCTATTATTATGCCTTTAGTTATACTATAGAAATAATTCCTTTATTACTCTTAATTTATATAATAAGTATTTAATATAGCTATAAGTTAATTAGTAAATATATATATAAATTAAGAGATAAATTTCTTATCTTCTCTCCTTAATATAATATCTTTCTTTAAGATATTAAGTAATCTAATAAACCCCCTAGCTTATAATATCTTTATCTCTTTAATAATAGCTCTAAATAATAATAAGAATAATAACTTTAAGATCTTTAAGGATAATACTTAAACTGTCCCCTGCCTAGTCCCTTTAAACTAAAATAACTAGTTTATCCTATAGCCTGCTGTTGCTGTAAATAACCTTCCTAGTCACTTAGGGACTAGGTAAGTAGTATATAAGGCAGTAGGCTTCTTTTAGCCTATCCCCTAACTTATTCTTTATGGCTAAGAGAATCTAGGAGTATAATAGCCGGTATATAATATATTTAATACTAATAGTTAGATAGCCTAGAATACTTCCCTAGGAGCTAATATAAATATAGGTCTCCTAATGCTAGCATAGCTTTATATGGCATATAATACTAGCTTTATTCCTGCTAGGGCTCTAGTAACTATGGCGATATAGAACTAGGGATATAGTATTAAGGGAAACTGGTATACCGGCTAGCTTTATAATGCAGTTAACTAACAGTTAGCTTAACCAGTCCCTGATGCTATGCCTTTCTAGATAGCTTAAATACTGCAATGGCAAGATGCAGTATATTAAGCAGGGCCTCCAATCCCTGCTATAATATAGCCTATGCCTGCAGTTAGAATAACTATGCATGCACTAACTTTATAGGTAGCCTAGCAGAATAGTATATATATTAATTCGGTTAATCTACAGGGGCATATTATGTAGACTTAGATAGGCAGATAGTAGGGGGAATTAAGGATATTTAGGGTTACTTTCTTATATATATTTAGTAGTATATATGCTAGTTTAAATCTCTTATTGTATTAATATTATCTGCTCTGTTAAGGTTATAATCTGCTTAAAGAGAAATATATAATTCCTTTATTTAATTTATCTACTTATATATATGCGATTTAATTCTTTATATCTAACCTTATATTATCTTCTTACTTACTAATAATATTAGAATTTAGCAGATTAAGGTATTAAGATATATATTAATTAATTCAGCTTTTTTCTCTTAATTTAATAATATATATATTATCCTTCTTAGGCGTAAGTAGCTGGTTATAAGTATAGGTATTCTAACTAGGATAATTAATTTGCAAGGATTAATAATTTTATACGCTCTGACTTTACTGACTCTTGATTATTATAAATACCATAAAATAAAAAGAGGCACTTTAATTACAAAGAGCTACTATTAAGTAATAATAATTATATTATTAAATTCGCTGAAATTTACTCTATTTATATATAGCTCCTAATTAACTATTATCCCTTTATATCTTATTTGGCATTAGGCTGCCTAACTGCTTGGTTATCTTACTAGGAGAATCAGATCGCCTCCTTGCCGCAGCCGTAATAATATGTAACTTATAGGTCCTTGCCGAGATACATAGCTAGGGCCTTCTGCTCCTAAAAGCTATATTTCTAGTTAATTGGTATTATTATTAGATCTGTTATTATTATTAAGCCAGCTGTATATCTCCTCTAATATCTAATCTCTTAGTTTAAAGCTGTTATAAAGCTTAATAAAGGGCCCTATCTGCTCTGACCTCTGGCACTACTAATACCTAACTGCATTATACTCTAAAGGCAGTCTAATAGCTTCTCTGAAGATATAGTTAGTAAGAGAGGTACCAGGGGGCTGCTGATTAAACCATGCCTCGCGAGATTCCTTATACTTTATATATACTTAATATATAGGCTCTTAAAGGTAGTAGTAGGTCAGGGTCAGGGTTATCTATAGTATTAAGGCTGCGGCAGTAGCAGGAGATATAGACCTGCTTTATATATTTATAACTATAACCTCCTTTATAATAAGATCTTATTCTCTCTCTATATTATTAAGCTCTGCTGCTATTTTAATATACTTCTCGGGGCATAGCCTTAAGTTTCTATTATAACCTTACTTATAATATTAAGAGCAGGTCTATAGCTTCCTAGGCACTAAGGGAAGTAGTATCTTTTTAACTCCTTTAAATATATATAAATCTCATCATATACTTAATACTAGCTATAACTTTAAGGCTATATAGCGATTATTAACCTTATAGGGCTTAAATATTAGCAGTAGTATCCTAGATTACTAGAGATACTAATATAAATAGAAATGGCTTATTAATAAGGGCTTATTTCCCTGGATTAATAGCATAAGGGCATAAGCATAAGGTATACCTATAGTCTTTAAGAAACTCCTAGTATATTAAGAAAGACTCTCTCCTATTTATTCTTACTGCAGATTGACTATAATTAATGCCTTATAAGATATCTAACCGTAGACTTGGCTATATAAAGCTTCTAATAATATCTAAGCGTGCTAAGTAGGTCTTATTGCTTATTTAAGAGCCTGTGTAGATTTTAGTGTAGTTAGCTGGTTTATAATTACTAGCTTAATAATTTGGAAAGCCTTAAAGAGGTTAGCCTTAGAGCTTTTTAGATAAGACTTAAGTAGGGAATAAATACCTTTTACTTAAGATATAATAAATTAGTTTAAATATAAATACTTATTTATAAATGCCTTAATAAACTTACCTTTATAGGGGTTTAGCCAGGTCAAGAGAAGGTAATCTACCTCCTTTAAATATAAATAAGTATACTAAAGCAGAAAGACCTTTAGTCTCTTATTATATATAGCCTGTGACTTTAAGGCTATAAGCATATACTAACTATCATAGAATTCCTTCTATACCTCTTATCCTTCTTTATCATCCTTGCCCTTCGTAAAGCTACTTATATAAAAGGTTAGGACTACTCTATTAATATACTAAAGGCAGAGTATAACCTTTAATACTAGAAAGCAGAAAAGGAATATAATAGCATTTATATAAGTAAGATATTAATTAGTTAGTATAACTAAAGGATAAGGAATATTATTAGTATTATATAAATCTTATAATACCCTAAGAGCCTAGGCGAAGTCCTCCTCTTCCTTGCTACTAAGATATATAAATATAATACAAAAGGTGCTCCCTGTGGTATTAATACTAACTATATTAAGGAGAGGCATCTTATACTTATTAGTCTTATAGGTATAGTTAACTATAAGTACCTTAGGGTATAACTTAGCGAATTAGAGTAATTCTAGATAAGTAAATATAACTAACTATAGTTAAGAGTCCTTTCTAATAAGGTAATAACTCTAGAAGCCCTATAAATTAAGATATTAAAGCAGAGTAACTATATAGCTCTATCTATTAGCAAGGTCTTGCTTTACTTAAGAGATATAATTCGCAAGATCTAAGTTAATAAATAATGCCTTTATATTCTGCAGTAGGTAGGTCTTAATTTGGCATTATTTAACGCCGGTAAAAATAAGCTTTTTAACTATATGTGACGGTTGGTTTCCAACTGTGGATAAACTAAGCCGTGCTAGGTTTATTGTTGG